GTCGTTAACTTTACATAGACAGCCGCAGCGGTGTGATGTGGTGTGGGAAACGTACAGGAATCGCTGAGAATCCCGCACTGCATCATTGTGAGCTGCCACTCTGTCATGAATGCTGCTGACAGACTCATCCACCTTACCAACCACTGCCACCCCTTTGCAAATCCTTACACTGGCTTCTGCTCACCCAATGAATAAAATTCAAAATACTAACAACAACATGCAAATTTATCCACATCTCAACCGTGAGTTACATCACAAACCTCACCGGCGGATTGATATTAAAGAGGATGGGACTTTAGTTTATCTATTGGGGGCCTCTGCATGAAGATTACCCTGAAAATGGAAAAATAGTCCGCTTTCTGCAGCGGCCCCCCTGCAGTTAAACAAGTAGAGCCAGGGAAAGTTTTTAATTTTTTTAATTGTTCTAGGTTTGCTGAGTAGTAGGGAGTCCTATCTGCAGCTTTCCCCACCCTCATCCCTCATCCCAGATTCCAGGACATAGGCCGGGCTGAGCAATGGCGGGACAGAATCCCAAAAATCGGGACTGTCCCGGGCAATCTGTCCCCGGCAATCTGTGACAGTTGTAAATCCCATATAATAATATTTGACAATAACTTGTCCAATACCTAATTTATAGTGTAGAGACAGGAACATACTGATATTCCTGTTCATGAACGGTATTTGTAGCTCCGTATAAAGTACATTTTTTGTGTAGGCTTTAAGGCCGAAACACCAATAGGCCAGGAGACATTCATGTTTTGTGTTCCAGACTGAAGTATGCAATTACCATAGAAATTGTACCACATGTCTTTAGCAATACCTGGCGAGATATATTTCTTTTGCACATTGCTGAAGATGTAGAAGAAAAATGCTTTTTTTTTCCAGCATCTTTCAGATGTGTATTTTGTAAGCAAAACACTTGGGAATGTACAGAGAATAATCTTGTCTGTAGCACATTCTACAACAGACCCTTTTCATTTCACTCAAGTATGTTTGAGAGGCAGAACAACAAAGCAGAGTGTTGTATTGCGCAAAGATACAAGGCACAAAAAGGCAAAAAGTTTCCCGAACTGGAGGATAACAAGGAATACAAAGATATTTTCTGATGACTGAACAGATCTTTGCAGAAACCTTCAGAAATCGTGGTGCTTTGCTATATCTACAGTTGTGACCAAAATTATTCAACCCCCAATGCTGTAAAGGGGTTTAGGGACTATAGTGTACATTTGGAATTGTATTCAGAATCAAATCCTACAAGGACGTTGTAACTACCCAAATGCAACTAAAATGACATCAATTGTTTATGTAATACAGTAGTAAATGGTTCTTATGTGGTTTCTTCATTGCCACAATTATTCAACCCCTTAAAGACTACCACTCTGAAGAACAGAGGTTCATACAGGTGCTTTCCATCAGGTATTGAAAACACCTGTGGATGTCACCGAGCAAGCAATCAAGCATAATAAGCACCAATTAGGCAGCTTTAAAATGACTGTGATACTCAGCTCCTAGACATTTACTGGTGTGGTTACAAACATGGTGAAGGCAAGAGAATGGTCCAGGAAGACAAGAGAAGAGGTGATTTCTCTTCACACAGGAAGGGCAATGGCTATAAGAAGATTGCAAAGATGTTAAACATACCAAGAGACACCTTAGGAAGCATCATTCGCAAATTCAAGGCAAAGGGCACTGTTGAAACGCTACCTGGTCGTGGCAGAAAGAAGATGCTGACTTCGACTGCTGTGCGCTACCTGAAGCGTAGAGTGGAGAGAAGTCCCCGTGTGACTGCTGAGGAACTGAGAAAAGATTTGTCAGATGTGGGTACAGAAGTTTCAGCCCAGACAATAAGACGCACACTGCGTAATGAAGGCCTCCGTGCCAGAACTCCCAGGCGTACCCCCTTGCTGTCTCCAAAGAATAAGAAGAGTCGACTGCAGTATGCCAAAAGCCATGTGGACAAACCACAAAAGTTGTGGGATAGTGTTCTGTGGACTGATGAAACAAAATTAGAACTGTTTGGGCCCATGGATCAACGCTATGTTTGGAGGAGGAAGAACAAGGCCTATGATGAAAAGAACACCTTGCCTACTGTGAAGCATGGTGGAGGGTCAATCATGCTTTGGGGCTGTTTTGCTTCTGCAGGTACAGGGAAGCTTCAGCGTGTGCAAGGTACCATGAATTCTCTTCAGTACCAGGAGATATTGGATGGAAACGTGATGCAGTCCGTCACACACCTGAGGCTTGGGAGACGTTGGACCTTTCAACAGGACAATGATCCCAAGCATACCTCCAAGTCCACTAGAGCATGGTTGCAGAGGAAAGGCTGGAACATTTTGGAGTGGCCATCGCAGTCACCAGACTTAAATCCGATTGAGAACCTCTGGTGGGACTTAAAGAAAGCAGTTGCAGTGCGCAAGCCTAAGAATGTGACTGAACTGGAGGCCTTTGCCCATGAAGAATGGGCGAAGATACCCGTAGATCGCTGCAAGACACTTGTGTCAAGCTATGCTTCAACACGTTTAAAAGCTGTTATAACTGTAAAAGGATGCTGTACTAAGTACTAAGATTGAATGTCACTTGGGGGTTGAATAAAACTGATAATGCTGTGAGCACAGAAAAGACATTTGTGGTTATTTCATTATAACTGTTATGTTATATTTTGTCTGACCTACAAGTGCCTCTTTAATGTAAATGTAAGCAAGATGACTGAATGATCAAAAGCAATGTCAAACTGGCCAAAACACTCAATTTCAGTGGGGTTGAATAATTTTGGTCACAACTGTATATAGACACTACACATTGCACTTTTAGCCTTTAGTATGTTCCATTTATGTAGCAGGGATGATTGATTTTATGTTCTGCCTTCTAGTAAATGGTGGCTATTTGTTGTGCCTCAGTGAATGTGCATGAAAGCATACAGGGCAATGGAGATATGGTGAAGAGTTCTTTGACAGCTGGATAGCTATTTTGTTTTGCAACATGCTTATACATATACATAAATTAAAGTACATCTAAACCCTATTACAAAATCTCAACTTGGTAATATACTGCATTTTCAATATGCAGTTTTTATTAAAGTGCATCAGAAGCCAAAAGGTTTGCAGCAATGAGGGGTTAAACAATCATGGATTTTTTTTTTTCTTTCTGTCTTACATAGTTACATAGTTAGTCTGGCTGAAAAAAGTCAATCCAGTTCAACCATAAAAAAAAATAAATTATAATGCTACACCCACAGTTGATCCAGAGGAAGGCAAAAAACCCAGCAAAGCATGGTTCAATTTGCTCCTGCTAGGAAAAAATTCCTTCCTGAGCCCCCGAGAGGCAATCGGATATTCCCTGGATTAACTTTACCTATAAATGTTAGTATCCAGTTATATTCTGTGTATCCAAGAATGAATCCAGGACTTTTTTAAAGCAATCCACTGAGCTGACCAGAACCAACTCTTGAGGGAGTCTATTCCACATTTTCACAGCTCTTAATGTGAAGAAACCTTTCCGTGTTTGGAGATTACATTTCTTTTCCTCCAGACGTAAAGAGTTCCCCCTTGTCCTCTGTGATGACCTCAGGGAGAATAGTTCTACACCAAGTTCACTATATGAACCACTGATGTATTTATACATGTTGATCATATCCCCCCTTAATCTCTTCTCAAGAGAGAATAAATTCAGTTCCTCTAATCTTTCCTCATAGCTGAGCCCTCCATGCCTCGTATCCCAATGTTCTTTTTGTGAATTGGTGCCCAAAACTGAACTGCATATTTCAGATGAGGTCTTACTAATTATTTGTACAGGGGTAATATGATATCTCTCTCTGGAGTCTATACCTCTTAATACAAGAGAGGATTTTGCTCGCTTTAGAAACCGCAGCTTGGCATTGCATGCCATTAATAAGCCTGTTATCTGCCAGAACTCCCAGATCCTTCTCCACCATTGATTCCCCCCAGTACTGTCTTTGTCCCCATTAACAAGATTTACTTTATTTGTCCTGGTGAAAATCCAAGATTTGCACCAGAACATGAATAGAGAAATTTTCCAATTTTCCAATTGTTTAGGTGACAGCTGTAAAAATTGCCACACCAATTTAAGGCTCCTTTCACATGGGGTGGACTTTAGCTGTAATCCACTTGCTCAGCAGGGGATCTGTCTGCTGATCCCCACTGAGCAGGCGGATGACAGATCCGTGTCCACTATGCTTTTTCAGAGCGGACACGAACACAGCCCACTGTCCTCTATGGGCAGTTGGATGTAATGGACCACCTGACCGTTTACACCTGACTACCATCCAATCTGATCCTCTGGACAGAAGGGTAATGGATCCCTATCTTTTTTTGTGGATTAGATTTGATGTAGGCGGGTGTAAACGGACAAATGTCAGTCTTTAGAGAAGAATGGAGGTTACAGTCTGCCTGAAAAATGAACAGGAGGACCCGATCGCAAAAGTCTGCGTGAAAGGTGCTAAAGTGGTTCTAAAGGCAGAAGTTTTTTAGCCTAATGCATTCTATGCATTAAGTAAAAAACCTTTTGCATGCAGCTCCCCTCCAGCTTCCCCCTTATACTGACCTGAACCCAATCTTGATCAGCGATGTGCAGGAGAGTAGCAGCTCTCTTGGCTCTCTCCCTCCTCACTGACTCAGAGACAGCAGCGGGGATGAGCTGTGCTCTCTGTGCTGGTTTGGGAGCAAGCACACATGCGTGCTCCCATAGCAAGTGGCTTGCTAAGGGGGCACTTGGGGGAGGGGGGTTGAGAAGCCAGGAGTGCCAGCAGGGGACCCAAGAAGGGGAGGATTCAGGCTGCTCTGTGCAAAAACATTGCACAGAGTAGGTAAGTATAGTTTGTTATTTTTTTTTTTTAATATAATGATCCTTTACAATATCTTTAAGCTTTAATTAATTTACTCAGCTAAAGTATTGAACTAGATTGTTCAGATAAAATCACAATCTCCCCCTCCTCCAATCACATTTTGAATAAAATGCACGATGGTTACTGAATGGAGGAGCTGGAGCAGCAGGGGCGGACTGACCATTTGGAAACTCGGTCACTTCCCAAGGGCCCGGGGTCAGTAGGGGGCCCCATAAGATGCCCCTGGCACATTTTTCATAGGATTTTTTGGGCAAGGACACAGGGGCCCCATGATCCCCTATTGCCTGGGGGCCCCATGAGTTGTCAGTCTGCCCCTGAGCTGGAGTGTGAGCAGCCTGAGTACTCCTGCTCACGGTTATCGTGAATAAATTGCACAGGGAGATGCTGGCCTTGCTACACTCTTTAACTGTAGTATGTAATGAAGGTTGCCACTTCTCGTTAATGCAGTGAGCGAGTAACCTTGAAAACACCCACAAGTTGCTACACAACATCAAACTGGAAGAACAGTTTACAGGACTATGAGAAAACAACATTCAATGAGGCATAGTATGGCTAAACTGGAGTGTGGCTTAGGGCTCATGCACATGGACAACTAAGGCAAGACCTCCATATTTCTGTGTTGGGTATGACTTGGTGTTTCCAATCAGCCATGAACAGTAAGCCTGTACAAATCAATGCCAGGCTGACACTGGCCCTGGCTGCCTGAGGCTCTTCACATGTAATACCACATTGAGCGATTATATGTGATTAGGGACAGATGTACATCCCTGGATGCAGACAGTTTGCATCCAGGGGCGCATATTAGTGGTTCACCGAAACCGATACCAAAAATTCAGAATGCATGTTGCCGAAAACCGAACCGAAACCGAAATATCTGCGTATGTGGGGGTGGAGAGGCTCAAATATTGTTTTGTAGTTTTTTCTACTTTCATGTATATGTTTATTCATTTTTTTAAATTTATGATTTTATTGCTATCACATAGGGGGGCAATAGTCCCCTATGTTACAGTATATGAGTGACAGGCCATCTTTGTAGGGGGGAGGGGGAAGCAGTGTGTGCAAGGAGGGGGCAGGAGAGGAGCAGTGTATACAGTGAGGGAGCAGTGTATACAGAGAGGTTCCCTCACTGGCTGTCACTGGATGTCAGTGCCAGTTATTAAATGCAATTGTGGGCTTTTTTTTTTCCTTCGCTATGAGCTGTCACTTTTCCCAGTGCTATAGGAAACTGTGTTTCTTTTAGCTTGAGGAAAGAAATTAAAAGAAAACTTTGTTTCTTTTAGCTGGGGGAAAGTTACAGCTGATTCTGTGAGCTATAGTGAAGAAAAAAAAAAGCTGGTAATTACATTTAAAAACCGGCACAGACATATAGGGGTTTATTTACTAAATTCCGTTCACTCAGAATCTCGTGCACTTCTGCACAGAAACCAATCAGCTTACAGGTTTTATTGCTAAAGCTTAATTGAACAAGCTGAGGTTAGAAGCTGATTGGCTACCATGCACAGATGCACCAGATTCTGGGTGAACCAGCTTTAGTAAATAAACCCCACCGTGACAGCCAGTCACTGTATACACTGCTCCTCTTCTGCCTTTCTCATCTGCCTCCCTCCCTCACATCTGCAGTACACACAGTCCCCTGTATAGGCTAAATTTTTTTCCTATCGGCATTTTTTTTTGGCCAATATGTTTCGGTGGCTGAAATTTCAATGCATATCCCTCTGTAACTGCAGATAATCACTGTGCAATTACAAGGTAATAGCTGTGGACAAAGCAAAAAGAAAGAGCGCACCAACCTTGCGCATTACCTCAGTAAACTATGAATTTATTAAATAAAAAATATATATAACAAGGAAGTATAACAAGCATAAACAGATCCTCAAAGGAAATTGAAGTGTAGAGCCAGTGTGAGTCACATCGTGAGGGTAGACTCTCAAAGTGAGGCTGACGCGTTTCGAAGGGAGACCCTTCTTCATCAGAGCTAACAGCACAATGATTGCACTGATGCGATCATGAAACACAAAAAATTTAAATGAATGGAGAACACATACAAGTCTAAAAATATATGGCAATTGATGGCAAGTTTTGATCACATATTTGTTTCTTACATCAAATGATGTGTATTAGTGTTGCTGGCAAATTTTCATGATGCCTTTGCCCCTCCTCTTGGCCGGGGATGGCCCTGCCCTGATGGGAGGGCCAACATTTAGTCCCAAGGTATATATGGTGGAGGGCACTCATTGTGCTGTTAGCTCTGATGAAGAAGGGTCCCCCTTCGAATCGCGTCAGCTTCACTTTGAGAGTCTACCCTCACGATGTGACTCACACTGGCTCTACACTTCAATTTCCTTTGAAGATCTGTTTATGCTTGTTATACTTCCTTGTTTATGAGTACATATATTTTTATTTAATAAATTCATAGTTTACTGAGACAATGCGCAAGTTTGGTGCGCTCTTTCTTTTTGCTTCACTTTGCAGTTTTGGTCGGGTTTCCCCAGCCTTGTTTTAGTGCTGCACAACCTTCCATGCATTTGTGGAACTGTTTCAAGGAATCCTTTCACCTTTCCACCCTTGTTTTGAGTCCTAGAGTCGAGGAGGTTTTGTTTCTGTTTCAATAGCTGTGGACAGCCATGGGCATTGCTAGCCTGTCATTGTTTTGCAGCTTACTGTCAATGGCTGAATGGAAACACCATACCTGCTGTGGAAATATGACGATCTGGGTAGTGTACGGTCCTATCCATCCTTGTGCATGAGGCCTTATAACACAAATGGAAAAAAAGATCTTGTTTATGTTAAACTGACCTTGGAAGCTGTACATGCAAAGTGAAAAAAATAGATTCAAAGAACCACTGCTAGGATAAAAGAAGCGATACTGTGAAGTACATACTGACATAATAAAAGATTTTCAGAATTACATCCAGCATACGGAATGAAATAAATGCTACTTTGAAACATCTATATACATTATGAAGAGATATTAACCACTTGCCTACAGGGGACTTATACCCCCTTCCTGCCCAAGCCAGTTTTCAGCTTTCAGTGCTGTTGCACTTTGAATGACAATTGCGTGGTCATGCAACACTGTAACCATATGAAATTTGATCATTTTTTTGAGACAGATAGAGCTTTCTTTTGGTGGTATTTAATCACTTCTGGGTTTTTATTTTTTTGCTAAACAAAGCAAAAACTGAAGATTTTGAAAAAAAAAAAGTTTTTTCTTAGTTTTTGTTATAAAATTTTGTAAATATGTGATTTTTCTCCTTCACTGATGTGCGCTAATGAGTCTGCAGTGATGGGCACTGATAGGCTGCACTGATGGGCACTGATAGGTGGCACTGATGGGCACTGATGAGTAGGCACTACTGGGTGGCACTGATGGGCATTGACTGGCATCACTGTTGGGCACTGAAAGGCAGCACTCATATATGGCACTGATAGGTGGCACTGACTGGCACTGATAGGTGGCACTGACTGGCACTGATAGGTGGCACTGATAGGCAGCACTAATGGGCAGCACTGGCTGGCACTGATAGGCGGCACTGATAGGTGGCACTGATTGGCATTGATAGGTGGCACTGACTGGCACTGATAGGTGACACTGAAAGGCAGCTCAGATGGGCACTGATATGTGGCATTGATGTGCACTGGTAGGCACTGATATGTGGCATTGATGTGGCACTGATGGGCACTGGCAGGTGGCATTGATGAGCACTGACAGCTGGCATTGATGGGCACTGACAGGTAGCACTGCTGGGGCTACACTGATCATCAGGGCACACTGATCATCAGTGCCCTGATGATCAGTGTACATGTCCCCTCCGAGGAATGCCGATTACCAGCTCTCCTCTCCTCTCGAGCAGTCAGCGTGACAGCTCGTGAGGAGAGAAATGCCGATAACTGGCATTTCCCTGTTTACATGTGATCAGCTGTGATTGGACACAGCTGATCACATGACCGAGCCAACATCTTCGGCTCTTTCCATTGATCGGTGATCCGCTGTGTCCGAGGGACACAGCGCACCACCGATTGCTGCGCTGCACACTCCCGGAGCTGCGAACATGTGGTTAGAGTGGGAGGACATCATATGACGTCCTCCCAGAACGAGAGAACTGCCTTGCGCCCGTCATTTCCTTATATAGCGGGCAGGAGGTGGTTAAGCATTACACCCAGCATACAGATAATATAAGGTGGCAGGGTGCTATTAGGTCATATTTGCTTACGTAACCCATTGAAATGTTATTACTTGCAGTGCATTAGGGTGGACATTGAGTGGTGGGGTCCAGTCATTTAGGGACGGAGCAGCCCTCTGGAACTTGTGTGTTGAATGGCAGGACTTGGCTGGTGAGTCGGGCAGGCAGGGACTACATTTCCCAGAGAGGGTGGCGTGTGGGCAGGGGCATATAAATATCAAAAGCCTGGGAGAGTAGCAGGAGAGGGCAGGGAGAGAATGAAGGAGAAGGAGGTGTGCTGATGGCTGAAGTGCTGAACTAGGCAGCGGAGCAAGGGTTAGAGAGAAAAAGAAAAGTGGAAAGAACCTAATAACCACCTGGTCTGCCACGCTGACCAGCAGGACAATCTGACAGCAGGAGACTAGATGGGACACAGAGTCTGAGCCGGAGAATCTGTGGACTGACCCTATTTGCAGAGAAAGACAGACCACTACGGTCTGCCAGACTACATTTCTACCTACACATAGTTGAGAGCATTACATATAGTTGCCTCAGTTTGCAGCCTAGTTCTCGCAGCTGCCATTGTTAACACACATCTACATTACAGTTTATTGTACAAGCTGACCACAGGACATAGGCAAAGATTCAGCAGTGCCAAATGAAACAGAGTTTTCCATCTTCAACCAAGCAAGATTCACATTACTGTTTATTTTTTGTCTTTGATGTTCAGAGTGAGCTATCTTTGCCTATAGACATTTATGCCAATTGTTGCTATTCAATAATTTGAGTCAGACTTTTAAGGTCCCCTTTAAAGTTTTAGTGCTTTAAAGGGAACCCCGCCCGTTATTATCAAGAGGAAAAGTGTTAAATCTCCCTTGTTCCTTCACTATCTTTGTGTTATCATCTCCAAAGACATGCTGGTAGGTTAATTGGATCCTGTCTAAACTGACCCTTGTATATGAATGTGAGTTAGGGACCTTATATTGTACCCCCTTGAGGGTTAGGGACTGATGTGAATGTACAATATTATATGTAAAGCACTGCGTAAATTGACGGCGCTATATAAGTACCTGAAATAAATAATAAATAATAATTATCATCCCAAGGAACTATATTCCACAACTTAACTCAACTTCATGCCAACTGGGCCCCAACAAACGCGCAGAAGACACTGTAGTGTTCTTAAGTGTTCAATTTCAAATGAGAATTCTCTTTATTTCACATCTAATCCTTGTCATCTGGTTCTGAAGACCCACAGTGA